GGGAGCAGCACCACTCGGTCTGGTCTTTTCTGGCTCTTCACTGATTTCCCTTGCCGAAGTGCGGTGCTGTCTTTGCTGCTGCCAGCCAGTGCTGCCGGTTCCCGCAGGGCTGAGCTGTGTCACCAGCCGGCGCTGTCGGTGCTGTAGGACCAGGTTTGTCAGTCCCAGCAGATCTGCTGTCCCTACCGCCTCCCTTCTGGGCTGCCACCTCCTTCCTTCGTCACAGGTGTGGGTTGTGCTGGCCCTCCGTCACCCCTGACCTTTGCAGAGAAGGAGGATGCAGAGAGGCACCCAGCCCCTCATCCTCCCACACCATCCGCTGCTCCCTGCCCTGCTCTGCTGTGGAGCACCTCATCTAGGTGTTCCTGCTCCAGCAGGGGGATTGGACTGGATGATCTTTTGAGGTCCCTCCCAATCCCTAATGTTCTGTGATTCTGTGATTCTGTGAACCCTCCCTCCTCCTCCTCCTCCTCGTCCTCTCTCAGAGCAATTCCCCCAATGCTATCCCCACAAACTCCTGCCGTGACCCGCTGCTTGTCCCCAGCAGCCTGCTCCCGTGCAATGATCCTGTTGTTTCTGCACAGGCCCAAGGTGCTTTGTCCAGTTTGCACTGGGCCCAGGCAGCTTTGCCCAAGTGCTGGAGAGGGACTTGTGAGGATTTCTGTGTGGGCAGCACAGGAGAGCCCCGGCACGAGAGCCATGGGGCACCACGTGGGCTGTGGGACTAGCAGCAAGGTGGTCTAACTGGGCAGTGGTGTGGGGCTGTGTGCCCCACAGTCCTCCCACCACAGGCAGCACCTCCGGTGGGTCCAGAAATGGAGGAGCACTGGGTCCCCCCATCACATGGCAGCCCAGCCAGGGAACCAAGTTGTGTCCAGTCCCAAGGTCTTCGAGCCCAGTTCTCCCTGTGGGGCAGCAGGTGCAGTTTTCCCCTTCCTCCTTCTGCAGAGCCATCGGGGCCAACCCCCTGTACTGCAGCTGCAACCTGCGCTGGCTGTCCAGCTGGGTCAAGACTGGTTACAAGGAGCCAGGCATTGCCCGCTGCGCAGGGCCCCCTGACATGGAAGGCAAGTTGCTGCTCACCACCCCTGCCAAGAAGTTTGAGTGCCAAGGTAAGAGGTGCCTGCACTGTCCGTCTGTCCATCCATGCCCTCCTCAGCCAGGGCATCATGAGGAGACAGGCTGCCTCCTGCCCCATGCCCCCATGTTGGTGCCCACACATGGATGCCTCCCCATCCCTCTCCGCACTGACCATCATCTCTGTGCCTCCCATCCCACAGGCCCACCTGCCCTCAGCGTCCAGGCCAAGTGCAACCCTTGCCTCTCCAGCCCCTGCCAGAACCAGGGCACTTGCCACAATGACCCCCTCGGCTTCTACCGCTGCGCCTGCCTCAGCGGCTACAAGGTACCCTGGTCCCAGGGGTCCCCAGCACGGGGGGACGTGTCCCTGCAGAGGGCAAGGGGCCAGTGCGGGGTGCTCTGCTGTGCCCCTGGGGCTTGCTGCCTGTGGGACCGTCTCCCGCCCTGCACAGTGCAGTGCCCTGCTCAGAAGGATGGGGCAGGCAGAGCTGGGCTTGGTGCTGTGGCACTCTCCTCGCTCCCACCTCTTCATCCTTTCCCAGGGCAGGGACTGTGAGGTGGTGCTCAGTGGCTGCTCCTCCAACCCCTGTGCCAACGGGGGGCCCTGCCAGCCCCAAGAGGGGGAAGGAGCTGGGTTCAGGTGAGTGCTGGATGGGAACCCATGAAAGATGGGTGTTTGGGCAGCAGCGTGGAGCCTTGGCATCCCATGGAGATAAAGGCTGATGCCTCACTCCCTTGGGTGTATAGCTCAGATATTGCATTCACATGGCAGCTCCAGCCCATGCTGCCCATGCTCTGCATTTCCTGGCTGCACCTCCTGATAGCAAGGCTGAGCACTGCCTCCACTTCCCCAAGCCCACCAGCCCCACAGGCCCCTGAGCTGAGGGTGTAGTGGGGGGAGGGGTCCCTCCACCACGGGAAGCATGGGGAGGCAAAGGGCAGTGGGATTTGGGGCTGACTGTGGGATGGGGCAGGATGGGGCCTGCTGTGTCCCCCGCACAACTCTACCCTGAATGCTTCAGGCCATTCCAGGAAACCAGGTGCAATTAGCAGCTGAAAATAGTTGGCAGGCCGGGGGTGCGGAGGCGGGCTGCGCAGCCGCCTGGGCCCGCAGCACCGAGTGGCCTCTCAGCCCGTTGTCGTGGCAACTCAGCATCCTCCATCAGGCTGCACGCTGCCACCCTCCGCTGTGCCCCATCTTCGGCAGGGGGGCACTGAATCCTGCTCACCTGAGTCTCTGCTCCCCTGAATCTCTGGGCATGCATGCGTGCTCTGCACCAAGGGCCTGTGCTGGTTGTTTTCAGGGGACCATGCCAAAACACTCCATTTCCCGCCCCAATGCTGCCCTGTGCCCTGCTGCAGGTGCTTGTGCCCAGTGGGCTTCGAGGGCCCAAGCTGCCGCGTCACCAGCGACCCCTGCAAGGAGCACAGCTGCGAAAACGGGGGCTCCTGTGTGCCTAGTGCCACCAACTACACCTGCCTGTGCCCTGCTCACTACTCAGGTACCTGGAATAGGGGCTGGTCATCCCAGAACTTCGCAGGTCTGGCAGGGGGATGTGCCCAGTGCTCTTCCCTTCCCACCAATGAGGACTAATAGCAGCTCTGCCTGCTATCCCAGTGCCCATCACCATGGCCTCTGGGCCCAGCTGCCTTGAGTCTGGGTGCCCTCGGCTGTGTCCCAATCCCCTGGGATGCCCGAACTGGGCAAGAGCTGCCCTCAGAGGAGCAAAGTCCTGTGCCTGTGGTGGTGCAAGCTGCAGACTCAGCAGCTCCAGGCCTTGAGCTGTACCTCCCGAGGCTGCCCCTCTGGTACTGGAGCTGTTGAGCACCCCCTGGCACCCCCTTTTCTGCCCTACAGGGGATTTCTGTGAGCAGCCACCGGATTTCTGCTCGACTGAGCTCAGCCCATGCCAGCACGGCTCCACCTGCATCTCTACCAGCCAGGGGCCCAGGTGAGCACCCTCTCTCCAAACCGCTTTCTCCTGCCTGCCTGGCAGGGGAGATTTCGTTTTGAGGGGCTGCAGCACACAGGCTGGCAAGGGAGCACAGGGAGGGGGATGCCAGGAGGAGCAAGCACCCACTGGCACAGTGGGGAAGGAAGGAGCGGCTGTGAGTCACTCATGCCTGTCCCAGATGTGAGTGTGCACCTGGCTACATGGGGAGCAACTGCAGCGAGGACTTTGACGACTGCCAGGACCACCGATGCCAGAACAATGCCCGCTGCCTGGATGAGGTGAACGGCTACTCCTGCCTCTGCACTGAGGGCTACAGGTACCACTGGGAAGATGGGGGAGACCGGGGATAGTGGGGACAATTATGTGTTGCTGTGCAGGAGGGACCAGTCCATCCCAGTGTGAGAGGAAGGAGTGGGGCTGGGGGTGTGGGTCTCTAGGGATGGAGGCTGGGGGGAGCCACCATCCCTGGGGAGGGACCCCAGGGCAGGACTCAGCATCCAGGTATTCCTCTGATGCCACTGGCTGGAGAGCCCTCCCTGGGACCCTAAAACAGAGGGGTGCTGTCAGAGCCTCATGGGGCAGTGGGCAGAGGGTAGGGCATTTTCCCAACCCCATGCCCAGCAGCACCGTTGGCCTTGCAGTGGCCAGCTTTGCGAGATGCCACCCCACGCTGCTGGCCAGCCCAGCCTCTGTGAGC